ACCATAAGAGGTCTTGTATGTAGTATCATAAGCCAGTCAAAATTCCGTTGGAGGTAAAAATCAAAATATCCCAAAACTGGGGAATGAATATTATGGGGAATATTATGTCACATTATATGATTGAATCCTATTAAACCATTAAAAATGTTCATGAATCTTACCATTTTAATGACATGAGAAAACGCTTCTCATGACACAAAAATGAAATGTAATTAAAGTCAAAAGAACAGGGTATAAAATAGTATATAGAATATGATCTCAACTTTGCTAAACAAAGTCCAGAGAAAATAGATTGGAAAGGGGTACAGTCATCTCTCATTATACTTAGGGATAGGGAAGACTGATTCCAGAGGTTCCAAGACCCCTGCATATACCAAAATCCAAGCACACCCAGGTCCCACAGTCAGCCTGCAGAGCCTGCCTATACAAAAAGTCACCCCTCCATATGTGGTTTTGCATCCTGGAATACTGCATTTTCAATCCACGTTTGGCTGGAGAAAGTCCACATATGAGGGGACCCACGTGATACAAACCCGCATTGTTCTAGGGCCAAGTGAATACCAAAAAGTTAACACTGATACGCTGTGAATGGTATATGCATAAGAATATATAAATGTGTATATGCGTATATTCTTTCATATATATGTGAAGAACTCATATGTTCTTCACATGTACACATATATACACACACATGTTCACCTTTTTGAACAATGATCATACAATCTGAAAAAATAGATTTTTAGTAAATAAAAATTCATTTTCTAGGCTTTATATTTTTAAATATCAATTATGTTAACATGATTTCCATTTAAATAGTATAATAACATGATTTCCATTTAAATAGTATCTTCCCTCTGTATATTTTTTCCGACACCTTTGGTAAATGTCTTCCTTACATGCTCTATCTGTACATTCCAAATGAGTTTGGCCTATCTCCAGGTTTAACTTGATTTCATCTGTTTTTTATTTATATGTAAATATTCTAAGAGCATGGGTTTGCTAACTCTAAGCCAAATAGGGCTTCTCCAATACTCTTCTTAATTCTAAGTACCAGAGGACAGAACATTCATCTTCATAGTACCTAAAATTGGTCCTTGAGCAAGTAAACATTTAAAAAAATGCTTCTATCTGATCTTCACCTGGGCACTGCTTTTTCATCTTGTGGACCCTATCTCTTCACTTAGTTGCTAGGAAGCTCCAGGCTAATGAGTGCTCTCTGGCCAATGGACACAAGCTTATGGCAGGTGTTTTGATACTATTAATAACTTCACTCCTGACTTCCGCTTCACCCTCCTATTCTTCTCTTTGTTCCATATTCCAAATCCACTTATTATTTTATTTAATTTTATATTGAAAATATTTATTAAAGTATCTTAAATTCTAATTTCGAAACGAGAAAAAATTGTCTTCCTTTCTTGTAAAAGAAGGGATGATAGTACATATACTACTGATAACAGAACCAGTTCTTTGGGATTAAAATGAGAAATAAGGATTATAAATTAAATAATCTTTTAGTTGCTACATCTCTTCATAAAGATAAAAATATTGTTTTTCATTTCCACATAGTTCTCAAAAGAGAACTGGAGCCAGGTACAGTGGTATGTGCTTGTAGTCCCAGCTATTTGGGAGGGTGAGGTGGAAAGACTGCTTGAGTCCATGAGTTTAAGGCCAGCCTGGGCAACATAGCAAGACTTTGTCTTAAAAAAAACACACACACACACAAGCTGAATTTATATAATATCTTATGAAATCTTGACCACTCTGATATTGGCTTCGTCACTGCAGGACTTAAAGCTTATATATTATTCTCTGAACAAGCTTCTTTATCTTTCTTCTTCCCATAAACTACCTGTTGCTGGTACCATTCAAAGAGTCTCCAAATGTTAGATTATTGCTTCCTATTTGCTATTGCCTCTACTGGCGGGGGTGAGGAGGGCAAAGTAACTGCCCCCCTCCACCAAATATTATTACATATTCTTTTCAATAAACTGGATATTTTTCTTCCATTTTCTGTATCTAAAAATAAAAACTGATGTTAAAGGGTAAATCTCCAAATCAGGAAGATTCTATAAAAACACAGAATTAAAGGCAAACTGTCTATCTTACCAAAATGAGGCTCAAAAGAAAAATGGTTGTGCATTTTTAATATCAGAGAACTCCTGCAACCAACAATGTTTTAAAGGTGCCATAAGCTCCATGGAGTACTAGAGTAGCATTCAGTATTTAATAGCAACCCGCTCCACAGGGCCAGCAGCAAAAAGGATCTTGCTGCAATAGCACAGTAACCCCCGAGGCAGCATGCTAACAGAGAAGTGAGGGAGTACAGTGAGCAATGGTCTAGCAGAGACCTGCTGCAGGCAAAGGCAACAGCAGCACAATCAGTGTTACTACAGTGGAGTGGGCGAGAGGGAAGTCAGGTGACTTCAGAGAAGTAGTCACAGGCTAGATCACACAAGGCTTTAAAGCCATTGTAAGTCGTGTGTGTGTGTGTGTGTGTGTGTGTGTATGTGTGTGTGTGATTCTGATGAGAAGCCACTAGAAGGTTTTGAAGGGAAATGAAATGAGTATGTATGACAAAAATCACTGCTATTTGGAAAATACTGTAGAGAAGCAAGGGTAGAAGCAGAGACTTCTCAATCATGTGGGTAGAAGAGGACTGTGGCTTAGCTTAGAGAGGAAAGGAGAGGTGGGCAGATTTGGGATCTTCTGTTTAAGGTAGAGTCAACAGAATTTGTTGGATGCTTGGATGCAGGGTCTGACCTAAAAAGAGAAGTCAAGAGTAATTTCCTAGAATTCCAGCCTACTTGAATGGCAGTAACTGAGGCAGTTTATTGAGATATTGAGGGGAAACAGAGGGAGGACTTGACGGATGTGGTGTCAGTAGTTCTGTCTGTCCATACTAAATTTAAATGCCTATCAGATTTCCAAGTGGAGATGCTGAGTAAACAGATGAATATACACATCTGGAGCTCAGAAGAGAAGTAAAGCTAGAAATAAAATTTTGGAAGTCATCAAATTATAGATGTTATTTATAGCCAAGGAATATGGCTTGGGATAGAAATTGCCTTGAGACACAGTACGGCCAATAACTGAACTCTGTGGCACACTGACATTTAGTGATGGGGAGGCCTGGCGACACAATGAAGCGAAATGAAATGCAGGAGAATGTGGTAACCTGGAAGCCAATTGAAGGAGAAAAAATATTAGTGAAGAACATTAATGAAGAAGAGAGAATATTAAGGAGGAGGGAGTGATCAAATGCTACTGAGCGAGCGATCAGGAAAAATGAGAACTGTGAACAGACATTGGATTTTGCAGTCATTGGCAATGTCAGGACCATGTAGGGGTTAATGGGGACAAAAAAACCTCAGATGAGAGCAGGTAGGAAGAAACAGAGGAAATGAAAATAGAGACTTAGAGGCAAATTTTCAAAGAGGATTTTTTGTTTGTTATAAAGATAAGAAAAGAAGTGGAGCAGGACTTAGAATGGGATGTGTGGTCTAGGCAGGATTAAAGGCAAGAGATTTAACAGCAGATATTCGTTAAATGAATATGTTTTAAGAATACCATAGGGGCCAGACGTGGTGGCTCAAGCCTGTAATCCCAGCACTTTGGGAGGCCGAAGCGGGTGGATCACGAGGTCAAGAGATCGAGACCATCCTGGTCAACATGGTGAAACCCCGTCTCTACTAAAAATACAAAATATTAGCTGGGCATGGTGGCATGTGCCTGTAATCCCAGCGACTCAGGAGGCTGAGGCAGGAGAATTGCCTGAACCCAGGAGGCGGAGGTTGCAGTGAGCCGAGATCGCGCCATTGCACTCCAGCCTGGGTAACAAGAACGAAACTCCATCTCAAAAAAAAAAAAAAAAAAAGAATACCATAAGGACCAAACGACTCACCAGATAGGTGTACATGATTCAACAGTGTAAACATGGTTTATACTTCAAGTTCCATACTGTAAGACATACATGTCACATTCACTTTGCTTCAAATGTAGGTGTCAATATCATATACGTGCTTATCTATTTTCTGATTTGAACGCGATATAAAATGGAGTTGTTTAACTCGATTTGTAACCAACCACTTTAAAATATTAAAATGTAAGGACTGATGGGCTGATTGTTGCAGCAAACCACCATGGCACACGTATATCTACGTAACAAAACTGCACGTCCTGCATATGTATCCCAGGACATCAAATCAAATCAAATCAAATCACATCATAATAAAAGAAATAAAGATTCTGGAAATCGAGATTACCAAATTAAAACTTTCAGAGGTAGGGGGTATGCATTTTAAACAAAAGTCCCAAATGCGTCTTACCATCAGGCTTGTTTTTAGTATTCCTTACTAATCTAAGGAATAATAAACACTTGGAAAAAGACAAGTTCTCCTACTTTGTAGATGTGCAATATGGGTTCAGGGGCTGACAGTTCAAGTCTATATTATGGTGTATTTTTACCTCCAGATCATGTAGCCTTTCTCACCCTTGTTTCCCAAAATTGAAAGGATAATTTAAAAAAATGGTAAATGTAAGAATATTTTAAAATACTTTCTTTAAAAAAAAATTACTACTGTGGAAAACTGGAGAGGTCCTAATATACTGAAAACTAGCTCACAGCTGCCAGTCCAAATTATTTTTATTTAATTAGCTTTGGACAAAAAAACAAGTAGGAAACCCCATGCAGAAGCCTCCAGCATTGGCTCGGCATGCCTGACAGGGGCTCACGCAGACTCTTTAGAGCATTTAAGATTCTGGGCTATTTGCTTATGGTTCTGAGGTGTCTTTTCAAAAATGGGTTTGCTAGTCAAAATGAAACAAAAAGGCAGTAAGCTGTGTGGATTTTCCCTTCAGAGAAAGCCAAGTGATGGAAAGGCCGGGCCGGCCCCCCAGCGACAGCGGCGCCTGCACCCCCGCCATCGGCTCGGACGGGAGGTAGTGCGAGCGGCCTGGCCCCCAGCCCACCCCGCGCCCCGACCCGGGAGCCCGGCACTTGCCTGCTGGTGAGCGCGCGGCTCTTGCGTCTTCCCTTCCGGCGCAGGGCGACCAGGCGGTGGGCGTCTTGCCCCGGGCGTTGAGAGGCTGGGGCGCCTCCTACGCGGCGGGCAGCAAACCCATCCCCGCTGCCACCGCAGCCTGCACCCCTTCGCGCTCGCGGAGCAGTTCGCTCGTGAGTCGGCGGCCCCACGCCTTTGCAGACGCGCTGCCTCAGCCCTTGGAGGTCTTCGCTCACCAGGCCTGACTGCTGTCGGCACCTGCCGCGCCGCTCTCGAGGGGTCGCTCGAGGGCGGGCTGCTGCATTGCCAAGGCAGGCCCCACCCGGGACGTGGCGCTGAGGGCCGGGGCAGTACAGCTGCGAGTCAGGGGTTAACGTGGCGGGAACACTCGGTAGAAGGAAGGAGCTCGCAAAGGATGGAGGAGGGGAAACCGCAATGGGGAACTGTCACCAAGGCTAGTGGACTCTCCCTGCTTTTTTTTTTTCTTTGGCATGTACCCCCCAAAGCCGGACGTCAAGGGCCAGAAAAGTCTGGAAAGGAATTCCACCGCGTTTGCCCCTTACAGACCAGACAAACCCCTAGACCCTTCGGAGGTACAGAGACTCTCCTGGTTCCCTAAGACAGTCTCTTGACTTTTCCTGTCCCTTTACGGCTCTCTCACTTGACTACCGCAGCCAACCCTACCCCTGACTAGAGTGTGCAGCACATCAGTCCCTGCCCCCAAAAACTACCCTGGGAAAGATCCCTTTTTTCAAGTTCGTTCTCCACAGCCGAACAGATTGAAACGCCACTGAATATCAAGAGAGAACAAAAAAGCAATTACGTAAATAAAGCGTAAGAAGCCTTATAAAGCCCCAAACTCGATCTTACCATTGCTACCTCAGGCACCCAATCCTAGTCATAATCTAAGAGCCCCAGTTCAGAAATCTCCCTCCCCTTTTAATTCTCAGGCAATCTCTACTCCCTGCCAAAGGAGACCCAGTTACTGAATCTCAGATGAGACCATGGATAATAAATTCGGAGTGAAGGTCCATACCTGTGTCTCAGAAACACAGTACAGGTAAAGCTAAGAATTATTTCCTCCCTTTCCCCATCCAACAATAGGACGGCTTATTGAAGGTAGGCACTTCAGGTAGTAGTTACTTGGTGTGCTGCAATGTAGTCAGAAATGCCCTATTATGTACCATGTCAACACAATTCATTATCCAACAGTTGATTCTCCAACTGCTCCACCTCCCAACAATTCTACCTAAACTCTTTGGGTAAACAGTGGCCTCCTAAATCCAATTGATCCTTTTGTTGCCCTCATTTTCCCTGGGAGTCTCTCTTTGGGGATTGACAAAGTTGACCGTTGTCTTCCAACACTGTTTCCTTGATGTTGACAGCCCCACTTTGCCTTTATGCTCATCCTGCTTGTTAACATTCTTTCAGTTTCCTCTGCCTGTTCCTCTTTCTCTGGCAACCCTGCAAAATCAATGCTTTTTAAGCTTTTCCACTGAAATACCACCCATGACAGATTCCATAAACATGTACTTCCCTATTCACCACTTAGGTCACATGCATAAAAGAACCTGAAGTCACTAGTGTCAAGGGCACATTTACTTGAAGTGTTCCATCTTCTTTTAAATTGCTCGAAATTTTGCATTGTTCTTCATAATATAGTCACATGTACTAAAAAATAAATTGGTTACAAGTTTAATTGCTTAACATTTTCTCTCCAAATGTTCAAGAAAATGCATCAGTCACTTATGCCACATATATTTAGATTACATTCTATGTGCTAGGCATTAGGGATATTGTGTGAACAGCAGGCACAGTCCTAGTTCTCATGGAGATTTTATTGTCTAATCTGGGAGACAGATACGTAAAGAAGTGAGACAATTTCTCTTTTTTTTTTTTTTTTACTTTTTCTAAATTTTAGTCTATCCAGTCCAGGAACACACGTAGTGTTGATTTTCATGTCCCTTTACCTTTTTCAGTCTAAAGTAGTTCTTCTAATCTTTCTTTGCCACTCACGACCTTGGCATTTTTGAAAAGTATGGGACATTTATTTGGGAGAATGTTAATTTGAGTTTCTCTGATGTTTTCCCTTGATCAGATTTAGGTTATGCATTAGAATAGCATAGAAAGGATGCTTTGTACTTCTAAGCATATCATGTCACGAAGTACATGATACTGATTTGTCCTTTTACTGGTGAGGTGAACATTGATCATTTGATCAAGGGGTTGGCAGCCAGGTTTCTTCAATGTAAAGTTACTATTTTTCTGTGTTATTTATAAGCAATTTATGAGGAGATACTGTGAGACCATGTAAGAATTCTGTTCAGCACACTTTCACCCACTAAGTTTTACATCCATCAATGATTCTTGCGTGGATCAGCTAGTATTGTGATGATTGGCAGGTGGTAATTTTTTAGCTCCATCAATCCTTCTACATTTAGAAGTGAGACAATTTCTGATCCGTGCATTGATATGGGGACAGGGAATCTTCCTGGTGGGCAATTTCTAGCTATAAACTTGGTTATTCCCATTCAAGAAAGGAGGGGATGACCTGACAAACTGATAAATATACTGACTTATAGGCAGTGTCTAATAGGTCATGCAGCTTTTAGGTTCTTGGAAAAATGAAATGGAAAATTTGTAAAAGATCTGTTGGTTAGACTTAAAGATAAGCCTCTTAGAGTAGTGAGATCATGTTAATATATTCATGTCCCACATAAGTGCCTAACAGGATGCATCAGGTGGAGATTTGCAATAAGGGGAACAAGATGAATTGTTTGGTGGATGTCAGTCTTTTTCTCCAGCCAACCCAGGGCTTGGTTAATGGGCCCATTTACCAAGTGGCCATCACAGCAGTGACTATTCAGTTGACTCTGACTTTATCAAAAGGGAGATTATCCCAGGTGATTCTGACCTAACCAAGTGAACTCTTTCTGGCCTTCTCTGAAACAGATTCTAGTCACAAGTTTTGCTGACTTTAGAAAGGCAAAAGTCATGTTGTGCACTGCTTATATAGAAGAGCAGCCCTAAGTAGCTGAAGACCTCAGTTCTACAGCTTCTAGGAACTAAATTTTATCAACAACCTGATTAAGTTAGAAGAGAACTGTGAGCTCCAGATGACAATGCAGTTCAGCTGACTTCACTGCAGTCTTATGAGACCCGAAGCAGAAGACCCAGTTAAGCCATGCGGAGACTCTTAACCCCAAGAAATTGTAAGATAAAAAAATTATACTGTTATAAACCAGTAAATCTATGGTAATTTGTTACTCAGCATAGAAAACTAAAACAAGAGATAAAATAGCACTTGGATGGAAATCTATAGCTTTAAGTATGTAAATGAGAATAGAAAGTCGAAAATTTGAGGAGCTAACCATCCACTACAATATGGCAAATTAACATGGAAAGAAAAAGCTGAAATCACTAAAACAGAAAAGAATACAACAAAGAAGAAAAACAAAAATACTGGCTTTAAAAAAAACTTGTAATAAATGTGATAAACCTCTGGCAAGACTAGTCAAGGAAAAAAGATACAAGGAATACAAAGGGTACCATCCTTACAGATCTGGCATATGTTAAGTATACAAGAAAAACACAGTACTAATAAATTTGAAAGTGTAGACGAAATGGAAAGATTCATAGGAATATGCAATTTACCAATATTACATAAGAAACAGAAAAGCTCAACCTTATTAATAAAAAGAAATTGAATCAGCATCCTATAAAGAAGACACCAGACCGGAAGCACACTTTACCTACAATTTCTAATAGTCAAGGAAGAAGTAAATATTATATACAAGCTTTCCCAGAAAACAGGAAAAGAAAGCCACTTTCCAACTCACTTTATGAGGCTAAACCAGGCTTGATATTAAGCAAAAATCTTAAAAGAAATCCAGCTATTAAAAATAAACCACATCATGCCAGGTTGTTTTTACCCTAGGAAGAAAAGGCTGGCTTAACAACAGGAATCCAGTTCATGTAACTGACCACATTCAGAGAATAAAGGCAGAAAAATCATGATTTTCTCAATAGAGCTTTTTAATAAAATTCAAAATTTTCTATCATTTATGATTATAAAAAACTCTAAGCAAACTAAAGATAGGTGGAGTATTTCTAAATTTAATAAAAATACCATAAAATGCTTACAGGATACTTTGAAAGCATTCCCAGAAAACAGAAACAAAACAAGAATGCCTACACATAACCTATTCAACATTATACTGGAGGTCCCTGCAAATGTAATTAGGCAAGAAAAAGTAAAGAAAGGGAGAATAGAATGACAGACAAATCTATCATTACTTATAGAAAGTGCAAAAGAATGTATAAATTACTAGACTTAACAGAAGATTTTTGCAAGTTTGCTGAATGGAAAAATTAAAGTTTTTCCACATACCAACAAAAAATTAAAAACTTAAAAGATATCATTTATAATGATAGCATCAAAAACATAAAGATACAAGAAAGTAAAATTAATGAAGTATATGTATACAGTATTTCTATGAAGACAATTATGATTTTATTCAAAGATACAATGGAAAGAAATTAACTCACCAAAAAATGCCCTATTATAAAGAATTTGTTCACAGGTAAAATACAATCCCAATCAAAATCCCAACAATTTTGTTTTGTTGAAATTCCAAAATTTGTATAAAAATTCAAAGAACTGATTACAGCCAAAATCTTGAAGAATAAGATATAAAAAGACTTATTTTACCAAATATCAAGACTTAAAAGCTGCAACAGTGTGTTACTGATATATGGGCAAACTGATCAATGTAATAAAAGAGAGCCCAAAAACAGACTCATGTAAATATGAGCATTTCACAGATGACAGAAATGGCATGTTCAACCAATTGAGAAAGATGGTTTTTCAAGAAATGAAGGGGGAAAAAAAGAACCTGGATACCTACCTCACCCACAAAATAAAATTCAATTTAAGTAGAAGACAAAACTACACATATTTTAGAACACAGTATAGAAGATATTCATGACCTAAGGGAAGTATTTTTTTAAACAAGACAAACACACCAAAAATATAGAAAAACATGGATAAATTTCACTAGGAGCAGAAAGATAAACTGTGAGAAGACATTTGAAACAGTTATAACCAAATGATTAAGTATTCTTGGTACATGAAGGAATTTTATTAACTTAAAAAAGTCAAATTTTAAAAAATGGACAAATGATTTAAACAGCAACTTAGCAAAAAGGGGAAATCCAAATAGTAAATTTGAACAAAAAAATAATTAACCTCATGGAAATGCAAATTAAGCAACAATGAGGTACCATTACAAGCCCAGATTTTCCAAAGTTTTACAAATGTGGAACCTTCTAATGCTGCTGGTGAAAGCACTGATTAATTACTTTGGAAAAGTTAGGTATTACCTAGTAAATTTCAAGATACATATATGACTCACCAATTCCATTGCTAGATGTATTCTCAAGAGATCATACACATGTACAACCTGACATATATACAGGGATGTTCATAGTGGCTTTGTTCGAAATAGCAAAAAAGGCAGAATGATCCAAATGCCTTCACGGAAGAGATACATAACGGTGGTATATTAATGATAAAACAAAAACTATAGCGATATGCATCATCATGGATGATGCTAAATGTTCAGCAAGTCACAGAAAAGTGACATTTCTATTTATTAAATATAATTTAATACTTTATTAAATTTTATTAATGTTTACTTCTATCTGATTGTTAGACTACTTTTAAGGAATGCAGACATCCGTACTACTCGAAATGTGGTCCCATACTGATCCTATACTGATCACCTGTCATTGGTTGATGGAGAGAGAAGCACATAAAGTGAGTAAACATGCATAAACTTTAGAAATGCTGACAGTAATCTGACAGTGCCAGTACATTCAAGTACATGATTGTGTATTTACAAAAATATCAGTTTATGATGATTTCGCAATTAGAAAAAAATGTGAGAACTAGTATACTTAACTGGTAAAAATACGAAGAAAAGATTATTTGCATTACAAGCAGAACATTGGTTATCATGTCTCTTGAGGTGATTCAGGAAACTGACCAGGAAAGGATACATAGGAGCTTTCTAAGGTATTCACAATGTTATATTTCTTTACCTGAGCATTGGATATATGAGTATCTGTTTTATAACTTTTCTTCTCATTAAATTGTACATCCCGAATGTGGTCTTCTATATAATTTCACAAATGTAAAAGTGTAAAAATTTGTTATGGACAGTACAATACCAATTTCTTTAAAAAATACAAAAATATCTATAAAAACTGAAATACACCAAAAAGAATGATGGAATTATGGGCAGACTTTGGTATCTGAACAATTACTTATCAAATTCTTACGCTGTTGCCTTTTCAAGATAGTAGTGATCATGAGGAATCCTCCAGCATTAAAAACAGAGTATGCCAGACCAGTGTCACTTTTGTATCTAAATTTCAGCAAGGAAGCTGCTTCCTAATGATAAAAATAGGATAACATCCTTGTATTTTCCTCCAGAATTTGGAAATTCCTGAGATGGAAAAGTTAGTCAGGAGATCAAATATCACTTTTACTGTTAACAAAATTAAAGAACGTGTTTTTCAATCTGTAGCAAGAGGGACTGGTTAATACCCATATCCATAAACTGGAGATAAACCGCTCAATTACTGGCATAGTCACATAACCAGGGCTTCTGCTGTGGGGAGATGATGTAAAACTCCCTAAGGAATAAGTCTTCTGACCTTCATATTCTCTTATTCCTTTAGTACTCTGTAAATATTGTACACCCTTAGAGTCCATTCTGCTCCATTACCTGTGTAACATTAGTTGCTCATACAGCTATCCCATGTACGCCAACTAGGTTATGTTCCTGGTGGTCAGACTGTCTTACTCATTTTTTTTTTTTTTTCCAGACCAAGTCCTGCTCTGTAGCCCAGGCTGGACTGCAGTGGTGCAATCCTGGCTCACTGCAACCTCCGCCTCCTGGGTTCATGTAATTCTCCTGCCTCAGCCTCCCGAATAGCTGGAATTACAGGCAGGCGCCACCGTGCCCCGCTAATTTTTGTGTTTTTAGTAGAGACAGGGTTTCACCATGTTGGCCAGGCCGGTCTCAAACGCCTGACCTCAGGTGCTCTGTCTATCTCGGCCTCCCACGGTGCTTGGATTACAGGCATGAGCCACCGCGCCCAGCCTGTCTTATTAATTTTTGAAAATTCTAGCAGACCATTATGTACATGACAGACATTCAAACACTTTCATAGTTGTGTCATGTATTGTTCATATAGGAGCCACATAAATAGAAGTCATAGTAAGGACTTCAGGAACTAAAAAAGACCAAGAGACCAGAATTAGACTAATGATAAAAACAGAATTACTAAGTGCTTGTATATGCTAGGCACTGATCCTCAGTGTTTCATAAACATTTCATTCTCCTTACACCGGATGGCAACACCTTAGCAGCAGATGGAAAACAGAAATATATGGTTAATCAAATCCAAAGTCACACAACCATGACTTGAATTGGGCTGTGACTCCAAAGCCAAAGCACTGAACCACTGCTGAGCTATAGTGAAATCAAGATAGCTAAGCCTTCAGAGATCTATCCTTAATTGTCTTTTTGTAAGGCAGTATTACACAGTGCTTGAGAAAGAGGGCTCTGGAGCCAGACTGCTATGGTTCATATTCAAACTCTGCTAATTACTGTGTGAGATGAGATTTCTGAACCCCTCTATGCCTCAGTTTCCTCATCTATAAAATGGGAGTAATATCTTTATTGCATGGAATCATTGCAAAGATTAAATATGTCAATACAAATACTCAGCACAGCACCTAGCACAAGGTAAGCATTCAATAAATGTTAACCTATATTTATAGTTATTTCCCTGTTGTTTTTGGAGAATTGTGCCCAGGAACCAGACTGTCCCCTCTGACCACATTATTAAGAAAATCACTGATACAACTGGGTATTACGCAACCTAAAGTTAATTTACTTAAAAATTAAGACCTCTTTGGAACAACTGTTGATTTAAATGCCTTTGAACTACACAACCTTTCAGTAAGGAATGCAAAGAGGAGGTTAAAAATTAGGCAGTATAGACGTGGTATTTCTCTTTCACTTTCTTTTTTGGACAGTCCCTCAGATATTTTTTAATAAAATACCAAATAAATAATCACTCTCATTATAGAACTGTACTCCAGGATTTAAGTTTCTAAGGAGCTTTAGAAAGATTTAAATCCTGACAGAAATGAGTGAAGTCAGTTTGTTGAAAGATTTTTTTTTTATTCTACAAGAAATTGGTAGGTGCAATCCTGTTAAAGAAATTTCTTGTTTTCAAAAGTAAATGAAAAACCCCTCTGAATTATTCATATATTAATTTAATTTTTGAAAACAATAGTCATAGGGCCTGCTTCGTCCTATTTAACTATAAATGTTACACATTTACAAACTAAAACAAAAACGCATCGTACAGAGATTTAAATGAAATTTAAAAGAATAAATTTGCTTTTCAGTCCACTGTATTTTCAAAGTTACTACCAAGCTTGGATGAAAGTTGTGAACCACAAACCATTTGTTTAATAGAAAAAAAAATGTGTAGATTATTAGCAAAGTAATACCTTAAAATGTATCTTCACACAGTTGCAATTTTAGTATAAACTTATATATCAAGTTGCTTTCCATTATTTATTCTACTTTAAAAATATATACAACTATGATGTTCAAATATGTATTCTGAGCCATTACGTCCAAACATAAATATTTGGGAAATTCAAACTGCTGCAACACATTAGGAAAGGATTAAGGAAAAATGATGAGCTACAAATTATGCAGTTGGAGGAAGAAAAAAACATTACTTAGCATTTATGTCTGGATAGGTATGTATTTTCTAATTTACATATACATATCCAGTTGAGCATAAACAACCATCAAAATTTAACCAGTTACATAGAAACTAGACTCAGCCTACACTATTTTGTATAACAGGTTAACAGTAGTGATTTCAAAAATTTTAATATATCTCAATAGTTTCACCAAAAATTATTTGTGGTAATATTCTAGTATTATGAAGTTTTGAGAGGTACAGATTAAATGAGTGCACTATCTATGCCAAACTCAGTAAGATCTATACCTTACTGTTTAATTATGGTGTAATATCTGAACACAATAGCACAGAGGCGCAACCAGAAAAGGACATTTTACATATGCCCATGCTGATCAATCACATTAACATTAGTGCTTACAACTCTCAAATTTAAATAGACAGGGACACTTATAAAGCTGCAGGACAACTTCAATACAATAACCAAAATTGACAAATCTGCAAAATCTTAAACTTTACTTCTTAATCCATTGATAAATATTATTTAAAGAGTAATTATTTGGTCTTCAAAAATCTTAAAAAATTAAAGGGTTGAAAACATGTTCACTCTGCTATACTGTGGCATCTGAAATTACCAAGCATGACAACTTGAATTTGTTTTGTTCTTACATGCAAGAAGTGTATATATGCATTTTAAGATAGCTTAGAATTAAGAGTTAAACTTTAGTCAGTAACGGTAAGTGAGTAGGATGGCTATCCAATCTGTATTCTATGGTATCACATATCAAAGTCTCTACGACATGACAATCTTGTTCAGAACTCATCACCTTTGGGTAGAGAAGAGAGGCATGGCAGAAAAGCAGTTGCAATTAAAAAAAAAAAACAGCAGAAAAGCTTTAAATATCTATACAATTTTGAATCATCTTGTATTCTACCAGATAATACTCAGAACAAAATCTTATTTCAGTCAGCTCAATCTATACAAGTTATAAGATGCAAACACAATGTAAACTCTATAGTGTACAGAATATGCACTATTTAATACTAATTAAATAAAGAACAGTCAATGAAGATTACCAAATAGGAAACACGTAGCATTCTAAATTTTTAAATCACTTTAAGGTAGCTAACCAGAAACTACAGAAATAAAATATGCAAGACAAAAAAAAAAAAAAAACAGAAAAAAAAGGAAAGCAACTAACTTTTCAGTGTATCACACCTATGAGGATAGAATGTATGGCACTTATGTGATACTAATATTAACAATTGTTCATTTAAGCTGGGAATGACTCACAGACATTAAAGTCATATAAGGGCAAGAGCCACAGAATTAAAATGTTAAAATTAAACATATCTCCTTTTTTCTTTGTGAAAGCACTGCAAATGTAACGAGTACAGGTAACTCAACAAAAATTTTCGTATTTCATTTGCCCCCATTGTAGTGTCTTAAATTATTCTGTAATATTTCTACCTGTTATAAACAGTCTTATTTTTAAGGCCTGTATAAACTCTATTATGCTACTCAAACATACTGTTTTCTGTGTGCTACAAATGCCTTTATGAAAAAATAGCATAACTGGTTATAAATCATAGAATAAACCCAAAAAACAAAAGTTTGACATTTTCTAAGCTAGTGAGAAATAAATTATACCATGATGTATCAATATTAACTAGCATTCCTATGGTAGATTTTTTTTCCTCCATAAAATTGAACAGTGCAGACAGAATAGGGCTTGGGCTACAGTTCATCACATTTGGTTTTCTTATAAACAATTAAAAGGCAATTTTGTTCCTCCATAACACATGTAGACATTAAATCTAAGGTTTTTAAAATATCAACTACCTATAAGAAAAGTAGTTTTAAATGGTTAAAAGGAATCAAAATACCAAAGTTTAGTGTGCCAAGAGTAGATATAAACAACCAAGAACAGAGTAGATCATTGGTATTGATTATTTAACATGAATAGCCCAAAATGAGTTCCAAAGTTTTTCCACCTTTACAAATAAAAAAAGGTGTCCTTTCCACAGTTTGGGGATATGCATTGTACATCCCTCCCAACAAGTATGAGTAAGGTTTTAAAAATGTTGTCAATATTAAGTTCTTCAGTACCTAAATTAGAGGACAGCAATTACAGTGGCAATGGTGCATCAATTCTCAAAATGTAGTTATGATCCAACACGAGTTGTGGTGGTTCTTTTATCTGAGAAAAAGCTTTTCAAAAGAAATACCTGCCCTATGCTAACCACCAGAAGAATGAGGGCTTCTCCTACTGACCAATAGGCCACTCTTGTATTTAGATCCTCTGCTCGGCTTCGGCCTTGAGCTTCTCTTAAACGGAAATGAGTCTGATAATCGATGACAGACTTCAGAGCTTCGTGAATTGAAACACAGGCAGATTCCATCTAAAGAGAAATATTTCAGTCAGTATGTGCGACACTTTGTGTAGACTTCATCTATCATATTCAGCTTTTGGTTCCAATTTGATCTCAATTCCTCTTGATTAGCATGCTACTAATCTGGCATTCATTCAATACATTTATGCCAGTTGTCCTTGCAGTGAAACCCTCCTACTCATTTTCACTAGGACAACTGTTAAGGCTAGAGATCTCATGAAGCAGCTGTTTTCCCCAACTGAGATATCACAGCCATGACATCAGTAAGGTGGCAGATGGAACACTAAGCTAACAATAGCAGAAATACTTATCAGCTAAGGTTGGTGACTACAGAATTTCCACCCCAAGTTCTTTAAAGAAGAATTAGAAGGAAGAGAATGACAGTAAGTTCACCAGTAATGAGAATATAAATCAAAACCCAAATACCTATTAAAAAAAAACAAAACTTGGTACAAAAATAAAAGGCTGAATGAGTCAAAGTTCTTTGAACTATGTTTAAAACAGCCACAGCATCAAAATCGTTAGGTAACTTTTAAATCTGAAAGGGATATATCAGAATAGGAATAACTTTTTAAAAATATTTATCGATTTGCTAAATCAGCCTTTTCCCTCATGCCAGTCAACTAAACCAATATGTATGTTTCCAACAGGATGCAAGTTTCAGTTTCACTGTATAATCAGTTTGTAAGCCTTTAGCTGATAACAGCTTGCCTTTTTATACATTTATTATACCATCTGTTTTGAGAAAGGTTAAGTGACTAATTTTTTTGTATACTATGTTTAATATTTTTCTATTGCTGCAAGCTTAATCCTAGTGGTAAAATATATGTTTTATTATTATTTTATGCAGCAAACCATGTATTAAGTTTTTACAACAAATCTAAGTTTGTCTTAATTTTAGTTAAGGAAAACAGACATTAGAAAGTAACATTTAATAAAGTTCTGCCAAAGTATGAAAGGAATAATTATTAAAATACTCTATTAAAACTGCTTTTTAAAAATGTAAGAAATTAGGAGGCAAACAAACTGCAATAACCTATTAGAAGAGTCAAATGTTTTTGTTGTCCTTGCTTTGTTTGGGTCCCTAGGAATGAAAACTTTGCAAAACTGTGCTAAAATGATTTCTAATTTGTGATAACGAACTACAGAGAGATGCGCCTCTAGCATTTCTTTGCTTTCTCTGTATTCTCAAAATGACATGTTGCCCAGGGATTCTTCACCTGCAAAGTAAACATAAAAGCAAGCAGTTGATGCAAATGCAGAATGTTTAGGAACTCCTTCAAGCCTGTCCATGGGGTATGGGTTAAGAACTACTGGATTAGAGAAAATTACAGAAATTAAATTACATGCATCCATACAACTTTTGAGATGTGATTTTTAAAGAAACTTTTATAGTGAAAACTTCCATACATATCCAAAAGTAATGAGAAAGTACAATGATCCCCTACCATGTCAATAACAATTAGGACATGGCTAATCATCTACATTCCCCACGAATTTTCCCCAATTATTTTTAAAGCAAATCCCAGATTTTTTATCACTGCAGCTACAAATACTTTTATACTTTATTTCTAAAAGATAACACTTTTTAAAAACATAACCCCAATAGTATTATAACACATAAAATAATTTAAAACAGTTACTTAAAGTCAGGAAATACTGTTCAAATTTCCCCTATTGTCTCAAAATTTGTTTTCAAATTAGAATCCAAGTAAGGTTAACACAATCATCTGGCTAAGTCTTCGTTAATCTTTAGGCTTTCTTCCTTGTTTTTTTCTTTCTTCCTTGCCACCTATTTACTGAAGAAAGTTGGGGGAAAGAGGACCCCTATCCTGTGGCATTTCTCACTTTCTGGATTTTGCTGACTACATTCCCATGCTGTTCCTTTATCCTCTGTATGTCTTGTAAATTGGCATTTGGAGCTAGAGACTTGATGGAATTCAGGTGCAATGTTCTGGGTGGGAATGCCTAGTAGTCAGTGTTGTGTACTTCTACTGCATATTATCACAAGACACATAATGTCTAGTTATGTCTCCATTTGTGAATGATCATTCAGTCTGATCCACTCACTAAAAAGTTCCCCACAAGCCTTTTACTTAATCGTTTTAGTAGTGACTGGTGATTATTGCCTACTCTAAATCCATCATTATATCAATGGCTAAAAAATGGTGAGAGTAAAACTCTCATCGTTTGTTCTGCGTTACTAGCCAGTAATTTTATTCTGAACTTACTAGCTGGTAATTTTCAATTTTAAAGTATGAAAAGTTGCTTTATAAATATCCCTATTATATGAGACATTAGCTTTTTGAAAGTAAGAAAATGAGACTAAGAAAAATAAAAAATGTAGTATGGATAAAGAAGGGTGTGATACTAACTGCTTTATTACCATTCATTTCTTATATTTATCCACTTAGGTTTTCAGAATAAGCTGCCTTATATAAGTTAAAATTCATGAAGGAATGGATACAGGTTAAGGTACTGACCCCAAAGAAACATCATTTTACAAAGCAAAATGTCTTTCACACAGGACTTTAAAATAAAGAGAACATTTCTAAAATTAAGAGTATTTGAATACATCTTGCTGATTCTTACAGGTTTACGAATCAAGGCTTTTACACATTCTTAAAACTGCCTCTTTCGCCATGACTTTGGCCAAGAGACTAAATAGAACCTGGGAACACTAAAATACCAGTTTAAGGTTTTAACGAATAGGTGGTAAATAATTCCTTTTCATGCCTAATTGAGTACTTTTAGATATGATCTAAGCCCACACAGGTTGAGTATTCCTTATCCAAAATGTTTGGGACCAGAAATGTTTTGAATTTCAGATTTTTTCTGATTTTGGAATGTCTACATATACATAATGAGATATCTTTGTGATGGGACCCAGGTCTAGACATGAAATTCAATTATGTTTCATATACATCTAATACATATAGCCTTAAGGCAACTGTATATGATATTCTCAACAATGTGTCATGAGGTCAGATGTATAATTTTCCACTTGTGGCGTCAGGTTGGAGCTAAAAAAAAGTTTTGCATTTTGAAGCATTTTGGATTTTGCTGTATTTGAACTAGAAATAAAACAGTCCTCATCACCTAAGCAATAGCTGATCATTGGGTTTAAATTTTTTACACTATCTTCCTCTATTTCTCCAAAACAAAACTGAATTTAGCTTTTATAACGTTTTGTGAAATGACTTGCCATTAATCTTCACTATTCCACCTAAAGTTACAGCACAAGTTACTGTTAACAGCAGCTTGAGTAACACTAAGTAATGGTAAAAAGGCTATCATGTGGTACTATTTATCTACTAATTTAGGCATTATTTTGCTTCCACTTACACCAGCCTAATGAGTATGATAGCAACGTTCCTTCAGGGATTAAAGAAAATGCTTCAGAAGATTGGAACATTGCTCAGCCTTCCCAAACTTCTTTTACTATTGATGTTTCTACCTTAGTGACTTCCTCGTATTTTAATGCTTCTTTCTCTCTTTACACTTAAAAGTTCATAAGAGCTTTCACATTATTTTTCACTATAATTGTTATCTGTGAAATGCCTACTATGTAACAAATAAGATATATTTTAAAGATTGTTAGTCGCAAAATTCCATGCTCATCAGTTAGTGCATGATATTAAATTATGCTTTTTTCCTCCTTTTAAATATACCAACATTATATTGATTTTTTATTTACCTGGGTAAGGGCACTGACTCGGTTCTCACTAGGAAACAAAGGTGGGTCTTCTCCAACTTGAAAATCAAAATATACAGTTTTATGTGTAAAAGTAGAAAATTCATTGCTGAAGCAAAATTTGTATGTCCCATTTTTGGAGGCTGTGAAGGTAAAACTATCATACTGTTTCTTCATCTCTTTGTATAACACTTTACCATCAGGATCTTCTAATCGACAGTCTACATCATAGTGACCACCAGTAATCACCTATAAGATATTAAAAAAAAAAAAAAAATCACTGCGAAAAGTTTGAAAATTAATCAGATTTAATCAGATTTCCTGTGAAAATGGCAATAAAGTAATGAGCAAAGGACTTACTATCACGGACAATTTTACATTTTTTGATTTTCACCAGTGGATGGAAGTAGGGAGGAGATTTTACTTCAAATAAACTTTATAGAAACTAAACAAGTTTCCTCCAACTTGTATTCACTTTGAACTAGCTAGACAACTGTGCTAATTAATGTAGGTCTATTGTATCAATTAATTCTCCCAGCAACCCTACCAGAGAGTTTTCTTCCTTCCATTTACAGATTGAAAAACTGATGTTAAATAAGCGACCTATTCAAGACTATTTATCTAGTAAGAAGCACAGGCAGAACTTGAACTCCAAAGTCATATTCTTAACCTCTATTTTTACTGCCTGCAATATTTTCCTTCTGAAAATTTTCTCACCCACTTTCCTATTAGCATCATCCAAGCACACACAGACAGTGAAGTAATAAGGTAGATCAATCTTTAGGATTACACTCCATGCATACGTCTATCATAGAACTTAGGCTCATTTTACTGCCAAATTACATGTAGGTTGTGTTTCTTAAGTTCTTTTATAGTCAAATATATGGACTTTGATACATATTTTGTTTTGAACTACACTATGAGATGAGTAATGGAGTGGGCTATTCTAAAAGTATATAATCATTTACAACCTTGTTTTCAGGAGACACAAAACTGATTAAACAAAATGTTGTTGAAACACTTGTGATTAAAGTAAAAACAAAAAAAACGTAAAGGCAAACAAGTCTGTTTATCT